CCATCTAACCAAGTTTTAAAATCTTATATCAGCCAAAAAGTCTTTTTGATCTTGTTTTGAGACTGATTTACTAAACAAGAACTGATTGTGTAAGAATAATCATCTTGTTTTCAGAATGTGTAAGATTATTTGTCTTGTTAGTCTGAAAATTTGACTCTAATTAAGAAAAAATATCTGCCAGTGGATTAAGAAAATTTTACTTGGTAAGATTCTTGAAATACTTGATTTGACTCAATTTTTTCTTTCCAGAATCTTACCAAGTAAAATTTTCTTACTCCACTGGCAGATATTTTGACTTAATTTGAGTCAAATTTTCAGACTAACAAGACAAATAATCTTACACATTCTGAAAACAAGATGATTATTCTTACACAATCAGTTCTTGTTTAGTAAATCAGTCTCAAAACAAGATCAAAAAGACTTTTTGGCTGATATAAGATTTTAAAACTTGGTTAGATGGACAGTTTTTGCAGTGAAGGCCTTTTCGATTCTTGTAATCATGAATGTTTTTTTTCTCTTTGCAGGGAAGAAATCCTTTTTTCCTTGAACCTGCAATCATCATTGCAATCAGTGATGGCAACAAGTTGACGGGCAGCAGCGGCGTTCAGGACGAGGTTAGTTTTCGAAMGAGCTTTTAAAAAAAATAAAAATGACCCAACTTCTTAAATAAAATTAAAACAGACCAGATGTGGATACACTGTTTATTACAAATCACAACAATTTTTAGTGTTAGTTTTGCAGTTTARCTAACATTTGTGATAATTCCAAGTTTTTAACTAACCTCCTACTGCTACCTGCTGCTGGTCCTCCCACACTTCARATGCTGAGATCCAACAGAGTCCATGTTGTCGTTGGGGATTATCACTTTTTTCTAATGCAGATTAAGTAGTAGTTGAAGTAGTTTGTCCACGTGGTGAGAGCCAAGGGAAYGCTGTCAAATGTGATTCTTCAGGGAAAAGCTGGTGCTCAAAGGGTTCATACTCATCCACAGCATAGATCAGGGGTGTCTATAAACATTTATRTCATGTGGGCCAAAAAAAGTCAGAAGGACTTGAGGGCCAAAAATATTTTTCCTTTACCTGCTCAACAATAAACTAAGCATTGAATACTTTAATTAAACAAATAAAGGAATCAGTTTTATTGCTGGAAATGGATGTAAATTAATCTARATCCAGAAGTTTAAAAGTGTTTGCAGGTTTCCCTTTTTGAAAGAAATTTAGCAATTTTCTAGGTTTTAGTTAGTAAAACCTAGTAACTAGTAAAATTAGTTTAGTTTTAATTGAGAAAAAATAACCCAATTTAGTTAATTCTGATCAATAAAATCAGGATTTAGGTCACTCTTTTGTTGAAAATGCTTTCTGTATTCAGACAAATTTAATAAGTTAATTAAAAGCAAATTGAAGTGCAGCAAAATCAGCTTTTGAGTAGAAGAGATGTGGAAAAAGCTAACAGCCTGGTTATTTAAAGACAAATAATTGGCGTTAGCCTGGCCCTTGCCTTCCTACGCAGCTCCGCTCAATTCTAGTTTCCCTTCACTGCTCCGTCTGGGACTTCTCCCATAGACAAGGATTTTGCTGGCAGATTTTTAGCCGGGCCAATCAGAGAACAGAAAGTTGATTTTCTGCGCAGTGTCTGCTAGTTATTTTAGCAAACGGCAGTGGAGGAAGAGAATGAAGCCAGTCCGTGTTGATAAGGCTTCCAGATTAAATTAAATTTGTCTGACAAAACAGCAGCTCTCATTTACAGCCGTCTCGTTCAGCTCGGTACTTCTCTCCTCTCATTAGGGTTGTTTACATCGCACGCGATTTCTGGTTAGCTTCTTAGCTTGGCCTCCTTCATAGCAACACACACATGCTTCAACAGAGGCCATGCCTCCAGTAAGAATCACTTCTCTATAGCAGTGAGTCCAGACCCTCGTACGAAGCAGACTGAACGACAGGGTCTGGTTTTGACCAGGCTAACTTGGAGATGTTACCAATATTTTTAATTGGAAGATTATTTTACTTTGTGATAATTTTGCCCTAATTAAACATAGAAAGTCTCCATCTACACTTGTGCCAGGGGCCACACAAAATCAGTTCAGGGGCCACACTTTGGACACCCCCTGGTGTAGATGGACAGGGATCCCTTTCTGTGTCCAACTGTTTTGCTGAGGGTTGGTCCAGGTGGAGGTTGCTGATGAATTGCACTTCCCTCAGGTCATGAGACTGATGATGATGATGATGATGATATCTAAAATACAAAAAAAGAGCTGTTTGGATTGAAGGCTGTTTTGTGCAGGTTTGATGCACCTCTTTTGCATCCCTTTCATGCAGGGTTGGGCAGTATTGGCAAAAAACGTAACCACGATTAATTATGGCATTTAGCCGATAATGATTAATTTGATGATTAACCCCCCGGAGTCCCTAAACACCCTTGTATCCTAGTCACATGACCAATTTATAGGGAGAAAATTGGCGCTTCGTAAAAATCTGTTCCAAATTGTGTCAAAATTACAGACTTCAGGCTATACATCAAACTTTGTTGATAGATAAAAAAATTACACAACTTTTTTAAATGTTGGTCGTATTTGAAGCAGAGAGGAGCACCAAGCTGTTAGTCTGCCTGGTGGCATTAATCGTATTAATAGTCGGGTGCCAAAAATGAATCGATTTAATGTTTTTCTGACGATTAATTGCACACGATACGATTATGCCCAACCCTACTTTCCTGTTTTAACAACAGTAATATTAGGTATCCCAAACAGACATTTTAACTATTATTATTGCAATTAATAAAATTTATTTGTTAGAGAATAAAAAACAAAATCCATTGCACTTTTTGTTTTTCAAAATCAGGCATGTACTTTTCAAACGGCGGTCATTTTACTCGTGACCAACTGTGCCTCAGTTTGACAGTCTGAAGGGCTATTTTCATGGAGGATAAAACAATGGATATAATCCTCTAAAATCCAAGAAAATTACTTTGCTGACTGAAAAGCATATAATTAACAAAAAACAGAAGTATTTACCCCATTGTTTAAATCACTTTTGAAAGTATTGAGTCCCAAAAATGGCAAATAAGAGAAAATCCCACCAAATGAAAATTATGAGCAAATCAGCCAAAGCCATTTTCACACCATCATATCTCAGTAAGTATGACATCCACAAACCAAAAAATCTTTATGCTGATTGACATTCAATAGTACAAAATGCCCAATTCTTTTCAGAAAACTCAATCACTTAGATTCTGAGAAATTGGACCTCAAAAAAGCAAAAATGGTCAAAAATCACTGTTCAAAAAAGTGCAAAAAATGCAGATTTTTACACCTTCACAAAAAATTGTTTTGCCGTAACACTCTGAAACTTTGAACTTGGTAAGAATTTGCCCCATAAATTTGATATTTAATAATCAAAAATAATTCCTATAATAGAAAAAAATTGACAAGCCAGTATATGTGGAGCATTTTGCCAATTTTTCAAAAAAATGTGCAAATTTCCTTTCTATTCAGAGTACATTTACAGAGTACAAATGTCAGTGTATTAGGATCTGACCACTCAGAATGAACATTTGATGCCAAAAAATAAAAAGTAATGTAATGCATTTTTGTAGCTATTGCAGAACTATTTTGAGATTTATTTTATTTATGCAGCAGAGAAGTAAAAAGTAGGTGTGGGACTCTTCAGCAATTGGCCGCCTGCGTTCTTAAATTTAAAACCATTACTCTTTTACAAGTGATGATAAACTGGAATACTTCTGTGATCTTTAATATTGATAATATTGATTACTTTAAGACTGAAACATCAGTGTATAATATGGAGGTAAAATGGTCCACTGGAAAAACAAATAAGTGTAAATATGACTTATTTCCATAAACGGGCTAATTTAAGCACTTCATTAAACTTGTCATTATTTTAGCTGCCTGTTAAAAAGCCCTGATGACTGACTGAAGTTTTCTTTCTTGTCCAGCTCCACCTGCCCCTGACCACCCCGCTGCCGGGCAGTGAGCTGACCAAGGAGCCCTTTCGCTGGGACCAACGTCTGTTTGCTCTGGTGCTGCGGATCCCTGGCAACGCTTCAGTTGAACCCGAGCCCCTCGGTGGCGTCCCGCCCGACGATTCTCCCATCACACCCATGTGTGAGGTCACCGGAGGTTGGTGAAACCAGCTGGTTTTTGTCGAATAGCACATCTGTGTTTGCTTGCACCGAATTCACGAGAAAAATGACACGAGACAAAGTTCTCATCCTGCGACTTGGGTCTGCATCATGTTCTGCACCTTTAGATTGGGTCTGCATCGTGTTCTGCACATTTAGATTGGGTCTGCATCGTGTTCTGCACATTTAGATTGGGTCTGCATCGTGTTCTGCACATTTAGATTGGGTCTGCATCACGTTATGCACATTTAGATTGGGTCTGCATCACGTTATGCACATTTAGATTGGGTCTGCATCACGTTATGCACATTTAGATTGGGTCTGCATCACGTTATGCACCTTTAGATTGGGTCTGCATCATGTTGTGAACCTTTAGATTGGGTCTGCATCGTGTTCTCCACCTTTAGATTGGGTCTGCATCGTGTTCTACACATTTAGATTGGGTCTGCATCGTGTTCTACACCTTTAGATTGGGTCTGCATCATG